TCTCTCTCTCTCTCTCTCTCTCTCTCTCTCTCTCTCTCTCTCTGTCTTAACACCCTTTCTAGTTAGGGTTTCTACTTCTGTGACAAAACAACATGAACAAAAAGTAAGTTTGGGAGGAAGGAGTTTGTTTGGCTTACACATCTACATCACTGCTCATCACTGAAGGAAGTCAGGATAGGAACTCAAGCAGGGCAAGAACTTGGAGGCAGGAGCTGATACAGAGGCCGTAAAGGGGTTCTGCTTATTGTCCTGCTCTCCATAGCTTGCTCAGCCTGCTTTCTTATAGAACTCAGGACCACCAACCCAGGGATAGCATCCCTCACACTGGGCTGGGCCCTCCCCCCTCAATCACTAATTAAGGAAATGCTGTACAGCTGGTTCTTATGGAAGCGTTTTCTCAATTGAGGTTCCCTCCTTTCAGATAACTCTAGCTTGTGTTGAGTTAACATAAGACCAGTCAGCACATACCCACTGTGGTTTTAAAACCTAAACCAAGAGAAGTCAATCCGGTCACAGTAATTACATATGACATTTCAGTAAAGATAAATGTTTACATGTGTGTGTACATACATATATATATGTTATACATAAAATATATACATAATTTTTTATACATAAAATATACATACATAAACACACTTCAGACAAACAGTGCGAGATTCTTATTTTTATTTATTTTGGGCTGAAGACTTACATGATCTCCTATGCTTATTTTCTGTAAAATTTTGTGTTTCAGATCAGTCAAGGCGAAAAGTCCTCAGCTCAGCTGTTCACTGATACAAAGATTCATCAGTGGTCTAAGGTGAATAACTTTTTTTTTGAAAAATGCTTTTTTTATAAAACATCTTTATGGAGGTGTATCTTACACAACAAAAAAATGTCCATTTTTAGCATGCAATGCAAAATCTTTTAGTTAAACTATAGACTTGGGTGATCAACACCACAACCCAGTTTTAGGCCCTCTGCATCGTCCCATAAAAGAGCCCCTATGCCCACCTGCAATCACTCTTCCCACATAGCAATAGTTCTTGTCCTAATACATTATATAAGATGTTATTAAAAGATAAACGTAAGCACATTAACATTCCACAGAGTTTTCTTGAGCAGATAGCAACTCATGAACGGGGCAGCTCCAGATGGCACGGGGTTAGGGACCCACCGGGGGCGTATGAAGGGAAAGTGGTCATGGGAAGGCTGAAGAAGTAAGGCAGACAGTGGGGCAGTGACTGTAATGTTCCTGCTAACCAGTCAGCTGACAGCTCATGACTGAAAACTAAGCTTTTCAGAGCAGACTCAATAATCTACCTTTTTATCCTGTCATATCTATGTTCCCCTTTTTCTTTTCAAACCAAGAACCTTGAATCTAATCTCCTTCGTTTAGCTTTTTTCATGACCATTATCCATAACAACTTGTAACCAACACACCAAACAAAGACACACATTCATAATCATTTTATGGGAATGTGGGCACAGTTTTCTAGGATACTTCCTGCTGATTGGGGGTGTTGATAATCTTATGGGAACTCAAAGAAAATTTAGGATTATGATCAACTCCTGTCTGGAGTATTCTGTGAGGCTGGATCATCTTAGCCAGCAATCTTGAAACTGTTCTGGATGTAGAACTCAGAGGTAACTGTAACAGAGGTTCCCTAAAACTTTGGATCACCTAGGCCATCTGCTCCTATTGGAGATTTTTCAGGACTCTTCCTTGATTAGCCCCTATTTTTCTTAACCCAGAATGAATCTACAGCCTCTCATTTCCTGAGGAAACAAAAGCAAACCCTTTTCTCCAAATTAACATATCTTTTGACTTAAATTTTGAAGTCAAGGCATTTTCAAAATACATAGGTTGAAATAATCCAACAGCATTGATAATCAAATGTCTTTTAGCAGCTGTTGCTCCTTCCTCAGTGGTCAAACAACTCAAAGACAACACAATAGCATATAGTATTCAGACTCTCTGTGTATTTTCCATCTTTACATGGCTTTTTTAAAATTCTTATTTCTTTTATTTTTATTTTTTACTTTTTTTTTTAAAGACAGGATTTCTCTGTGTACCTTGGCTGTCCTGGAACTCATTCTGTAGACCAGACTGGCCTTGAACTCAGAGATCTGCCTGCTTCTGCCTCTATCTCTGCTTTCCAAGTTTTGGGATCAAAGGTTTGTGCTACCACACTTCTTTCCTTCCTTCCTTCCTTCCTTCCTTCCTTCCTTCCTTCCTTCCTTC